GTCACAGGCCGTCGGAGGAATGCAGCATGACAGAGTTTATGATTTAGGTTTGCAAGCTCAGGCATACGAGGGGATGACCTCCTCTACTGCATCCAGCTTCGCATCCAGTTCACATGAGTCCTTATATGTTCAGCAAATAAGTGTCATTCAAGCTGAGCTAGAACAAGTAAGAAAATCACAAGCTGATTGACAAGCTGAACTGCAAGCACAGGTTCAAATGCAGATGCAGGAGCAACACAATCAGTTGTTGGATGAAATGCGCAAAATGAGGGAGCAGCTGAGTTGAAAAGAGGTAGCTCCAGCTGAGGAGGAGTCCACGAAGTCAGAGTAGTTTAATTTAGTCATATGAACTTGTTTATTTCTGTGAACATGTGTTATTGAACAATATTATGTTTTTGGTTATTTGATGTTATTGAATAAAGTCTTTACATGGCTATTTATGTTTTTAAATATATATTGAAGTTGTTTATATCTGTTATGTGTATAACTATCTTCTGGGAGTATTTTTGTTTATGTTTGCATGTGTGGAAATGCAATTATTGACTGAGAATGAATTTTTTTTGTCAATGCTACAGGTTTCCGACGGATTTTGCATCAAAAATTCGACGGAAACGACAATACAATGAATCATTGCAATTATGCCGTCGCTTATTTGGACGCCGAAAATTTCTAGCGCAGTTTACGGCATCCAATCCGCCTGACGTTTCCGGCGTCCAATATGCGTCGTAAACTAGCCGTAGCTTATTTACGGCGCATCTACGGCATTTTATTCACCGATAATTTTTGGCGGATCAATACGATGTAAACTTCCGGCGTAGTTATCGCCGAAATGTTTGATTGAAAATCGCCGGCTTGGCCAGCATTTTTTGCGTCGGTAATGCGCCTGAGATGGCGCCGGGACGGTTTCCGTCGTCTCATAAACGTCGAAAAGTTTTTTCCGACGCGAACCAAACCGGCGCACAAAAATTCGCCGTAAATGCACCGAAAACCCGGGACTACCGTCGGATTTTATGTGTTACCTGCTGATATAATCCGCCGGTAATAGCGGGTTTTCCTGTAGTGCATATGGTCCTAGATAAAGAGCTAAATATTACAACACTCCCTTAAATTCCGATTTAATATAGAGAGGATAACACCGTTATGGTTCCATGCGTGGACCGCTTTGCTCCTCCAACTCAATTTCCAAATAGAGAGGGAACACCAGTGTGTTCCAAGGCACAATGCTGCAGCGCTCCCAGAAGAAATTTTTTATTTAACTTTATTTTTTTATTTACATTATAAACTTCCTCATCTTAAACTTAGAACATTCAAAGATGCAAAAAAAAAAAAAAAAAAAAAATTTCTTACCACACGGTTTTGTAGCCACAAATATTGCACAGCTCGCACTACATGTGTTATATCTAATCTCATATTGATCATAACATACATCAAACTTCCAATTGTTAAAGCAGGTGGAGTCCTCTCCATATGTTCTTACTCTCCTTTAAATTTAGAGCATTTTTCCTTGGCTGAGAATGACCACCTAATGGAGTGTAAACTTGCTTTGCCTCACTCATGTTAAATCTTTGTAGCACCTTTTAACATATTCATTCTGAGAAAATTTTAGTATACTTGCACTTCTATCCCTATTCATTCTCATACCGATAATTTTTTTTGTTGAGCCTAAATCTTTTATTTCAAACTCTTTTGATAAATTGTCATTGAGATATCTTATATTCTTCTTATCTTACCCTGTAATCAGCATGTTATCCACATACAAAAATAAAATTTAATAATAGTTATCAAAATATTTGAAGAAATAATAATGATCTGCCTGGCACTTCGTGTACTCTTTATATGACATAAATCTATCAACACTTATATACCACTATCCTCATATTTGCTTCAACCCATACAGACTCTTTTTGAGCCTACACATCAATTCCTCTTTATATGTGATCATATATCCCTAAGGTTTCACCATGTATAACTCTCTTTCCAGGTCGCCAAAAATAAATAGTGTCTCTACATCTATATGTTTTATATGAAAATACTCTGCTGTTATTATGCTTAACACAACTCTGAATGTGGTTGTCTTTATCATTAACGATAAAATTTTAATGTATTACACTCCTTCCTTTTACTGAAAACCTTAAGACCAACCTTGTAGCGCTTACTATCATCATGTTCTTTCAGCCTATAAACCCATTTATTATGTAAATGCTTTCTTGTCATATGGTTGCTCTGTCAACTCAATGTTTGATTCAACATAAGTAACCCCCTCTCATCATTCATGGCTCGCTTTTTTGAATCATCAACTTATATGATCTCATTATAGCACTTTAGTTTACCATCATCATTTAGTAATAGATAATATAAAGAAGGAGAATGCCTCTATGTTGGTTTTGATATTCTACTCGATATCATCATTTCAATAATGTGTGTTTGAGAACCTCTTTATACTTCTTTACCTCGGGCAAAATTTATGTCTTTGTCTTATTAACTTAACATACTTTGAAGAATCTTCTAAAACAATCTCATTTATGTTATTATACATTTCATTTTTATTAAATGTGACATACCTGCTCTTGCTGAATTTTTATTCTTATAATCTTAGATTTTAAAGCCAATTTTATTTGAGTCATGTCCAATGAATATACATTTGATAGACTTTAGATTAAGTTTACTTTTGTATCTTGCATCAATTTGAATATAATAAGAACACTGAAAGACATTCAAGTGAGATAAACTTGCCTTCTTTTCACTCCAGACTTCCTCAGGTAATCCCTTATTAAAAGAAACTGATGGGCCATGATTGTTCAGATAAATAATATTATTCATTACCTTTGCCTAGAATTATTTTGGGTAAACTAGCATGTAACTTCATGCTCCTAGCAAGCTAAGTGATAGTTCTATTCATGTACCCTAAAACACCATTCTATTGTGGTGGTCTTGGAACATTAAACCCATGTTTGATTCCATTCAAAATATAATAATCCTCGAACTTATGAAACCCCTTAAGTAAAAAAAGAAGAAGCTAAACTCTTAACTATTGAGGCACCTTTTGATGTAATGGTTAATATTTTATTAAGAAACTCTAAAGTTAAGTATGCTCGTACATGAGCAATCATGGGATGGGTTACCTCCTGGGAAATTACACAAATGAGATGAAATCATGAGGCTATTGAGCCGAATCGGACAATATCTTAATAATTAAGAGTTAGGGTTATTATAAAATGGTATCAGAGCAATACACCAATCAGAAGATGAGAACTAAGTGTTATATAGTATAAAAGTGTTACGCCGTGAGGCCACATGTTGAAATATACATAAGAAAAAATGCTACATGATGGGAACCACCACTTGAACTTATATGGGCCACCTCTAGAATCATATATGCCTGGTGGATGAATTTGGAATAAGGATAGTGTCGAGAATATCACATATTTAAGTGAGGGAGTTTATGAAGCCCCTTAAGTAAAAAGAAGCTAAATTCTTAAATATTTAGACTCATTTTGATGTAAGTGTTAAAATTTTATTAAGAAACTCCAAAGTTAAGAGCGAGAATAATCCTATATGAGTGATCTCTTGGGAAGTTACACCAACATGACAAATTGTAAGCCTACCAAGCTAAATTGAATAATATCTTAATAGTTAAGAGTTTGGGCTGTTATAGAACTTATTATTATGATAATTGCCACCATTATATGATTTGAGATACTTCATATTTAAACTAATCTCATTCTCAACCATGACCTTCCATTTCTTGAAAATATCAAACACATCTAACTTTGTTTTAAGGCTTATACTCATACCTTTATATCGTGATCATTAAAAAAGTGATAAAATATAAAGAAACTCTTATAGAAGAAATTAGAGCAAGACCCCATACATTAGTATGCACGAAATGCATTTTCTTTACCTTCATCTTTGAACCAGCTTTTGAAAAACTCACATTCTCGTACTTGCCATAAACATAGTCTTCATAAAAATCTAAATCTATATATTTTAAATTAGAAAGTTTTTCTTTAGTGAGAAGATAATGCATACCATTCTTACTAATATGGCCAAGCCTACAATGTCAAAGATCGCCATCATATAGGGTGGCTGACCATGAGTTATAAATATAGCTCCTTTTGTAACCTTCCACAAATCTTCTATGAATGACATCTCATAGTCTGAGTTTCTATGTTGACTCATAGAAACTAAATTTCTTTTCAAAAAAGAAATATGTCTAACATCCTTAAGTCTCCAAGTTGATCCATTTGACATTCTAATATAAACATCTCCTTGTCCTACACCATTGTAGGGTGCATTGCCACACCTAGAAATTTACTATGAAAATTATACAAATTTATCTTCTCAAAATAGATAAGATATGCACTTAAAAATATTCAGAGGATACAACCCTCGAATATAGGTAAAAATATATAGCAATGACATTATTATTTGTAGATTAACAAATTCAAAGAGATAAACACAAAATAATGATAGACTTAGATTCAGGAAAGTATTAAAATAAACTAGTCAATGACACATATTGTCTTTCAAAACACTTGATGGATTGAGCCCAATTTTAAGATCGAGGGTCATGAAGATAAGCTAAAATAGAAGCATTCAAACATATAAGATTTATGAGTTTACAAGCAAATTGGATTAATAATGGATAATTATATTTTTTAATTTTGCATATAATTATCTACATCATCCATAGCAAGAAGATGGCTCGATTTTTTAAGCATATAATTATCTACTTAATTATTTAAATATTATTTAATATAACTATTATTTAATTATTATTCATACTTCAAATTATCTAATTAATTATTTAAATATCTTTTTTTTTTTTTTGACTTTTGAATCAAATAAATTAAATTTACACAAATCACATGTATAAATTTTGAATTCTAAAATTTCTTAATACAATAAATCAACATGAGCTACATTTTTAATAAAATTTTAATTACTCTTTTACTATTAATAACTAATTATACTATTAATTATTTAAGTGCGCCTCAGGCCTGGCTTGGGTTTGCGTTGCATGTTCTCCGTTCCATCGCTGGTCGCCTCCTTCGGCGTCGGCGACGGGGAGTTAGCTCGCTGTTTTGCTAAAAGCTTTTGCGCCTCCTTCACGAAAGTTCGACGACTTTCTGCCTGTTGGATCGGAAGTAACGAGGGAGCTATTGTGAAGGTAACCGTCTGTCGCACCTTCTGCGCGCTTCTTCGGCCAAATCCCGTAAATCCGCTAAACTCCCGTATTTATTTCGTTCTGAAATCCTATTTGGGAGGATTTAGCATAAATCCTGCTCATATCCTGGATATGTCTTGTATCCAAACGGCCCTTAACTTTTTTGGGAGAAAGTTTAGATTTTTTTTAGCATTGTTGTATATCTTCTCTTTTAGCGTTCGCTTCGTTTTCTTGCTCACTTGCTCGTTCCTTGATAATTATTTCAGTCGAAGGCGGTGGTTGGAAGATGGGCAGATTGTTTCTCCATGGGGCGAGACTTCTCTCGAGAGGATTTTGTTCTCTTGGATCGAATCGTATCAGTGTCTGTATAGTTGGTAGCGGCCCTGCTGGATTTTACACGGCTGAAAAGGTACATGAAAATCCCTAAACCTAGCTTTCATGCTAACTTGATTTCGAATTGCTGCGACTTATAAGAAGGTAAATCTCAAATAGGAAGGTTATAAGTAGGCATGTGAAGAAGCTTTAACGACTTTGAGAGCTTCATGTATGCAGAAGGATGCCAAGTTTAAGAGCATAATTAATACCTTGGAGTCATCTTTGGGTAGCTTGCACGCTTCTTCTTTCACAAGTAGAAATTGTAGAGTTGGAGGAAGCTTTGAAGAAATCAAATGAATGTAAGGTTGAATCGACTTTTTCAACCTTGCAAAGATGCCATCATTAACGAGTTTATTGAATTCAAAGAGTACATAGTTGAGATCGTGGCCAAGTACTAAGAAGGCATACCTTTTTACTTAGATTGTGTGAGCAACCATGGTGGGATCAACCATGTATGACATGATATAGATCCTTAAATTTCAATGCACTAAAACAACTAAACAATAAAGCTTTTGAAGATCTTGGTTTAGAGTTTCCTGAGAGTGAGGGCTAGGGTTCTTCTAAGAGCAATTCTAGAAGGATGTATTTTGTCTTTTTGGTTGAAGTCATTTTGGGCGGCAATGAAATGAACTTTTGAATTTTTTTTTAATCTTGTTTTCTCTTCCTTTTGTGAAAAATGCAAGCATGGTTTGAATGACAATGAACCAAGTAGTTGGTATTGGTATTGAGCAGAAATGAAGCGAGTTTTAATAAGCAAAATTTTGGAGTTAATACTAAGCAATTTTGAGTCAAATTTTGAGTAGAAACTTGCTAAAGCACTTATTAATATCCAAGATTTCACCAAATAGATGTTATATAAAATATCTTTGAATATACAAAGTAAATGCGATATTTTATTATTAGAAAAGTATCATAAATATGGGAGTATATTTAACCTTTTGTTTCGAAATATTGTTGCCAAGTCTTATTTGGCTTTTTCCTATTATTATTATTTTTTTTTTAGATTAGTTAACATCTAGGGTTAGTCTCACCTTATGCTACAATTTTTTCTCTTTGTTGGTGCATCCATCTTTAGAGTTTTTGTTGGAAAGGACTTTATCACTCGTAATATGGATCTTGTTATAAAGGTGGAGATCAAGTTTTAGAGTTTAACTTTTCATCCTAAGATACTTGGGATTTTGGCTTGATACTTGGTCTAAGCAATTTGGAGAGAAATCTAGAATGCCAATGTTGGTTCTTTGAAAGCAGTTGCCAAATATGTAATAATAACCCAATTGTCGAGTATTTGATTAGTTGATTAACGAAGTTTTCAAGTAGCAAAGTTAATATTTTTGAGAATTTATGTTACCTATTGAAAAGTTATAATTTTTACTATGATATTGTTTTACTTGATTCATCATAGTTTGCTTATTTCTTGAATGTAACTTGTGAAACAAGTGTTATAGCAACTTTGTTAAGGGCAAATCATCCACCAACTTGGGGGCCGTTGCTCTCCTATAGGAATTATTCTCACAATTTGTAATATTGACCTTAAATTGATACCACAATGGTCCCTAGCTTAAGTTAGTTTATCTCTTGCTTAACTAGTAAGGTATGCATCCGAGATTTAAGGCAGTTTTTTTAATGATTTTTAATCTAAGTTTGTCAGCATTTCGAGATTCAATTCAAAAGTTTGGTTGAATTCAAACTAAATAAATGAATGTTGATTCCATGATTGAATATCTTGATAGTTCCTATGAAAAAAATGTTGAACTATATTTGAAAATTTGTCAACTTCATACGTGATGAGTTACCCAAGTCATTGCAGGATGATTTTCTTGATTATGTTTAAATGTTTCAAAAATGGTTTGCATTCAAGTGTCAAATTAAAAATTCTAACAAAAAATTATAAACATTTTTTATGTAAAGATAAGAAAAGCAAAATGTGAAGTTTTTGCTTTTATTCAATTTCAAGAAAGAAAAAGCCACGAAGTTTTTTAAAATTTTTCCCTCTTTGATTTAATTTGACAGTAAATTTTCAATGGATGGTTTTAACTATTAGTCTTACTTATGCTAGAGCTGTTTCATTTGTTGACTCTTTAATAGTTGCATCTCCATAATGGCATCTATGTTTTGCTAGAACAAATTCTTGGACTTTCTAACTTTGATGAGTTCTTTAACAAGATTTTGAAGATTTCTATAGTCTTATATATCATGGTTGCGCTCTTTGTGAAAAAAACTATATTTTGATGGGTCCCATGTATGAGGTTATGTAGACAGTGGAGGAGGCTGTTGAAACTATTCCTAGTTATAACATTTACCAACTATGCATTGGATACTCGCAAAGAATGAAAGTATGACACTTATTTATGATCAATGACTTTTCTTTAACTAGAGGTCAATAAGATGGAGGGCTTCTCTGTTCATTTAGACGTTGATTGTTGTTGTGAGTTCTTTTATCCATCGAGAGAAAGCTTTATGAAATCTATTTGGCTTAAATGGCATTGTGGTAAATTTCATGTGACTTAAGGATATCAAGTGCTTGAAGTAGAAGTCTTCACATTATTGTGCTTTTTTGCATCAATTTGGCTATTGACATGTTCTAATAACACTGCCTAATAACACTGCCAAAGTTTTTTGTTGTTGTAACTTTGGTGCATATTTGAAAGAACCTTTTTGGAGAGCTTGAGTGAGTGTAGCCTAGATGACTATAGATTTGAAGTCTTCGTTGAACATCTTCTATTGAAAACAAATAATAAGGTGTTGGAGAGATTCACTTAGATTCTTGCCTCATATTAAAGAGAGTTTGTAAGCTTTTAAATTATTTATATGTGCTAACAAATTGTGTGACAAAAATTCCCTTGAATTCCAGAAAAAAACAATTTGTTCTAAGTGAAAGTCTTGAGAATTAGCATGGTGATGCTTGCCTAAATTTTGTGAATAATATTTGATAATTCACAGTATCGTAAATAGTAATAAGAGAAAATTGTTGACTTAAATAGTAAGACAAGAAATCGTGTACAACATGATTTGCTAGATCCATTTTTCTTAAAGAATCTTCGAGAGTTAGCATTTTGAACTCAGGTGAAGGCTGACTTCTGCTATTTGAAATGAAAATGCATTAGATGCTTTAGGCTGGGATTTTTTGATATGATGAGGGAAAGATGTTTCAGTAGTAGTCTCCTCAGGGAGGTACATTTTATTAATTGATGAAGTTGAGGTGAGTGTTCTAAAACTTGGTTTTGATCTATGAATTAAGGAACCAAGTTCCTTCAGGAGTTTAAACATGAGGAGTTGCTCTTAGAACTTGTTTAAGGATTCCTTGGATCATTCAAGTCAGATGCTGGTTTTGATCTATGAATTAAGGAACCAAGTTCCTTCAGGAGTTTAAACATGAGGAGTTGCTCTTAGAACTTGTTTAAGGATTCCTTGGATCATTCAAGTCAGATGCACTTGCATCTGACTCAACTATCAAGTGATAACAAAGTTTTGGTTCTCCACCAGAGAAGACCTTTCCTTGTCCTCAAAAGGTTCCATAGTTTGACCTCTTGTTTGTGCAATTGTCCACACTCATTGCTCCTAAAAGGACATTGGATCCAAATTTATTTGTGAGTGATATCAAAACCTTACTAACAAGTATGGATTAATCCCATGAGAAGATATAAGAAAGAAATTGAGCTTGGAGAGAGAAGATATATGATTTTACTAGATTGCTATTAGAAATTAATTACTCATTTCAAAATGTGATTTAGTGTCTCTGACTCATCCTCTGATCTCCTATTTATAGGCTTGGGTCAATGTTCAATGTGATAGGAAATGTTATATTTAAGTAATACATATAAAATTACATAGTAAGGCTTAACAAATGTTTATTTAAAACTTAGTTTGAGTTGTTGATTAGCTAGTGAATGAGGTTTTGATAGTGAATGAGGCTTATTATGAAATCTATGAAAACTTAGTTTGAGTTGTTGATTAACCTTTGTATGCTTGTTTGAGTTTATTTAATGAGTTCATTATAATTTAGATTAATAGTCTTAATGACTACAATTTAGGAATTCATTGATGAGCAGAACTCTACTTTGATGATTTTTATTTATAATAAATGTCAAGTTTATTTGCTGAGTTTAGAGGCAACTTGTCAAATAACTCTTTTAGGTGACTTGATTAATTCATGGTGATTTGTTGACTAAGTTTATAATTATAATGCAATTTGACCAAAATAATATTGGTTTTATATTTATGATCCTTTTATTAAGATCTCTTACCTTATTATTTTTTTATTCAACGTAATGTTCACAGATGTTGAAGGCTCATCAAACAGTGGAGGTTGATATTATTGACCGATTGCCTACGCCATTTGGACTTGTCAGATATGGGGTTGCACCGGATCATCCGGAAACAAAGGTCAACCTTCCTTTTAAAGTTCCCCTTGGGGGTTCCGTTATCCGGATATTAGTGTTGTCTTAAGAATAATTTTATTAGTGGTAGAGTGTTATTTATTAAATACAGTGCATTTGATTCAATGTTATCTTAAATAATATAATATTATCTAGGATGATCAGTAGTGCTATAATATTTCTTTTTATTGCCGTTAATTTTAATCATATGATAAACTAACATATAGATGCAAGCATGTAGCAAAACTGATTTAACATCTAGATTTTATTAAAATAAGAGTTAAATGTTATTTATAAATTTATTATTTAAAAATACCACCGAGCCAAATAGCTGATATTTGCAGTAGTATAACTAAATATAATATATGTCAACTAACCAAATAGTTCGTATAAACAAAAGTAAATAGTTGTATAAACAATTTGAAAACCTCCTTAAGATAAGGATGTGGATGTCTAATGTGATGTTCCTTTTTTTTTCCACATTATGTGGTTTCCATGATTTCATCCGCTATCTATAGGTTTAAACAAGGTAGCATGATCACATTGATGACTGTTAAAGAAAGAATCATAAGTCCAACTCTAAATAATTAGGATGAAGTTATTGTCGTTGAAGATAATATTTATGATGTTCAAGCTTTTAAATAAATTGCATTAAAGATTTAGATGAATTTGATTGATTTGAAAATCTTCACCACTTGAAATTAGAGTTGTCAAAACTGGTCAACGGGACGGGTTCGGGTCCGACCACAAATTGACCTAACTCGAATTTGGTTAACTCAAACCTAACCCGCTAGTAACTTGAACCCTACACCTCATAACCCGTTAAAATTGAAAAAAAAATTATTAGCTTATTGATCATAGATTTTAGGTTAATAAATAAAAAATAAGAAGATTATACCTATAAATAAAAGAAATTAAGAAAAAATATCAAAATCAGGTTGGCAGGTCGGGTCATTTATTGACACCCCTACTTGAAATTATGAAGTTTGTGAAAGGTTGGAAGAATTTTTTTTCTTATGGCCTTTGTATTTTAGTAGTGAGGAATTTCCAACCTTTTTCATCAGGGATGAAAAAGTTAAATTCTAAAAATCACTCTCATATCCATTTACCCATTGTGATAAAAATTAGTTGAAGAGCATCAACCATTATCAAATGTGCACTTGACTATGTTACAGAGAGGTTGCGTCTGCTGGTATTTGGTGGGGAATAATAGTTTCAATGCTTAATAAGTGAGCCCTGGATAGGATAGAGAGGGCAGCTCTAGACTCTAGTATGTTGAAAGCTAGGAAAGCAATTTAGGATTTTTGGAGGCGATCAGATAGAATAATTTGGAGTTTAATTTGACTTAAATACTTGGTTGAGAAAGGGAACATTCTTTAAGGAAAAAATTGCATAAGGATACTCTAACATAATTTTCTTTAGGATGGGCGTGAGAGCCTTTGAATTTGCACTGAGATTAATGCTATTCATGATATCATTATAAGCTGTAATATTAATGCAAATTTAAAGGATCTTGAACCTATCATAATGCAAATTATATCAGGATATCCTTACCCTTTTGTTGTTCTTTAATGCCTTGTTGAGAAGAAAGAACATGTAAAGCTCTCTTGAGTAGGTGAAGAGAGTTTGTTTGCTTGGTTTGCATTTTCTTGCGTTCTTTTCTCAAGCAGAGAGAGGGAGAGTGAAGCATTCCTTATTAATTTTTTTGAAGAAGACAAGTTTATACTGTTCCCTATATAGATAGTAGACATATGGAATTATCATCATGGCATTCCTCTAAAATAATTGTATAGTTTTCATGCTCTAAATAGGAGAATAAAGTAAACATCATGTATTCTATACGTAGAAATGTACTAAACATAATGAATTTGATGGTAATACACTAAAGACCACAATATAGCATGTCATACTTAGGGATCATGCCCAAAGTAGCTCAAGCTGAGCTAGGGTGCTGACCTTTCCATTGTGAGTATCTCCGTTTTACCGTCTTTGCAGATGTAGCGCTAGTGTATAATTCTCAATGACTCATGTAGCTAATAATGTAGCCATATTTAACAATTATTATATATTCTTGGAACCTATTGATTTTTTTTTTACATTCATTAATTTCATTTTGAATTAAAGTTTGAGATGCTGAACTCTCCCCTTGGTTTCATTGGAGAGCTACATGTATTCTTAGTTGGTTATCCCTTCTTTCTAGTCTTGATTATTTCTTCACGTTCACTATTAGTTCATTATTAGTAGTGGCTATCTTTTTCCATGTCATGCATTCAGTTGCCAAGGGTTTTCATGTTGTGGACAGAGGTTTTGACCATTGGAAAATTTTGCTTAATGTCTTGGTGGTATTTAGCAAGTAATGAGTGTTCAAAAAGCTTTAGAGTTTCTACTCTAATAGCGAAGTGCATGTGAATATCAAGGTTGTAAAAATCGGATCGGGCATCGAATCAGAAAAATGAGAGGTTTAAGATGCAATAGTTCAATTGGATTTTAACCGGAAGTTGAACTGGATGACATAAAAATATTAAAAAAAATTAAATAAAAAATAAATGATTAGAAAATAAATTTAGTTCACATATAAAGTTATCAATTTAAGATAAATTATTACTGATTTATGTTATATATTTAGATAAAATTTTCAACTATAAATTATATATTAAATCCACATTATAAACTCATTTATAGATCATTTATATTAGTTCATTTATAATCAATAAATAGATAAAAATATTTTTTAATAGTTTATAATTAAAAATAATTAAATATATAATAATTAAATATTATTAACCAAAAAATAAAACACTATTCAGATTATTAAAAAAATATGTTTAAAAATATAAGAAGTATTTTTTGTGAAATTAAAAACTTCAACTAAGTTATTTAGTCCTACATCACTTGAAAACTTTGTTTTAGTCTTATTTATATAATTTGTATAGTTAGGAGCTTACATGGAGTGATAGGATCATGTGGGTATGTTTTGTTGGTAAATGATCACTATATAAATGAAAAAATGACAAAAATGATCAATTGATTCTTTATGAAGGACTGGTCCCGATTATATTGAAAGACCAAAATGGTCCTCGACAAGTTCTAAGAAATTTAGGGCCAGTTCAATGATTTGCCGGTTGAACTAACGATTATGATTGATTCATACTGGTTTGATCAAGATTGATTTCTATAATGAATTAAACTGACCATATGACCTATTCATGTTCAAATTGCTGGTTCAGTTTGATTTTCAAAATCATTAGTTTTATAATGATATGGTGATGAATAATAACTTCAATTGAATATTTGCCAACTCAGTGTAAATATGACTTGAATTTGCGAATAATATCTTGGTTTGGGCGAGCCAAGGAGAGTTTGTCTACTATAGAAAAAGGAAGTGGTCTAACAATCTCGATCTTCTCATTAGAAAAAAATGGGCTTATGTTTGCCTTGAAATATAGAAGCTTGTTTTTGTATAGGTGGAATTAAGTCTTGATGAAAATATTAAAGAAATAGGTGGAAAGAGAGGGAAGCACTTCCAAATATGCAACTCACCCACAATATTTGCAAATAAAGAGAAGTACGAGCATTAGGAAGATCCTTCAAGATGATTAGAGCCACTTGAGTAATTTTCGACGCAATGACCAAATTTGGAAACCATATGAACCTAGGAACCTTTAGTGAGGGATATTATTGAGGTGATGGGTAGAGGCAATGCTGAATAGTGCTACCAATAGAGATCAGGATGTGAACAATTTGAAAATTGTCTCGAGTGGTGAGCAACTATCATTAAGTTAAAAATTGACAGGACAACAGACATCAAGAGCCACTGAGCCAATCGCCCTAATGCGGCACAAGCACATGTGTGCTCTGCACATCAATTAGAAAACCTAAACATGAGTGGAAGATCCGTAGACAAGCTTGCGGGATGCGGACCCAACAACACATGTGATAGAGTGCCACGCACAATGGGATCACCCTGCACACTGGTGTTGCCGAGGCAGGGGGCATGTAGTCTACATGGGAGCGGAGGGCATGCTGGCACTTCTGCTTGAGCTAAAGAAGAAAGATGCTAGAGATGCGATTGATTTCATTTATATGAATTTGATGGTGAAAGAAGTTCTTCAAGTTAAGTTTGCGTAAGAACATTGCTTACACTTTCTATTCAAGGAATGGACATTATTATTTAACAATTGTAGTTGTTTTATAAACTAGAAGATTGAACCATTTTAGAATTTTAAAATGAAAATATTGTTTCGTTGAATTGTAAAGTTTATTTGTGCCCTTCGCTTTGGCAATTTGAGGTTATATTTTACCTAAGCATGCTTTGTCTTTCTACTGCACTGATTAATTCATTTCAGTCTTGACATGTCTTTGGTTTATTGACTATGTTTTTATTTTCATTAGTTGTCTTAGATGATTTGGTCACATAAAACGACGGCCTTCTAATGACCCGGTTAGCAGAGTAGATGTATTAGATTTAACTTATGTTAAGAAATATGGAGGTAGACCTAAAAAGATTTGATTAGAAAATATTAGAAATGACATTTCTTTATTAGATCTAAATGAGAATTTGACTCTTAATCGGATACAATGGAGAAAAAGGATTTATGTAGCCGACCCCACGTAGTGGGATAAAGGCTTGATGTTGTTGTTGTTGTAGGTAGCTAGATTATGTGTTCTTAAAGTAGGAATAATGGAAAAAGCTTGTCAAAACCCAGTTTTGTTCGATATCTATCTCCCTTCGAAGTCGATGTCTTGTTTCATTTGATTTGGGATATGATACGACAACAATGTAATAACTTGCTATTTTGTTTGTGTGTGCATAAAAGCTAGTTTGAGGGGTGCATTTAAGTTAATATTAGCCTTGATACTTATCCAAAAAAATTAGCATGATCAACACGAATCTCAAGGTAATATTTGAACTGAAAGCTTATGGAATTAAATTTGTGATCGTTTGAACACCAATTTCAAAAAGCCTATAGTTGAATCGAGTATATTGACAAGGCAAACCCATCAACACCACAAGTGACTCAATTCGACTCCCAATGAGCTCAAATCAAACATATATAGTGTATTTGAATATTTTTGTACATAAAATGAATGATCAAATGATTTCCAATTCTAACATACTTATAGTAAAATCGAGAGGCTTGACGAGACGAATCTATAGAGCCTAGGCTTAACTGATTCTGACATCATTAAGGCCTTCAAATGTTTAATAAACGATCTAAGATCGAAATGATCAATATGAATCGTACGATGGAAAGCTTTGGATTCTAACCAAATTTATCAAAATACACTTCTTACAAAGCCTATAAATAGGGCGTCATTCTCTACTAAAGGAGAGGTTGAAGAGCTGAGTAAACTAAAAAGCTCTTTGGTATTTTTGAGCTATTATCGCTAACGACCACCAACGATGTTCGTTGTCATCTTTTCTAGTTTATTGTGAAAATATAATCCTGTTTTTGTATTTTTGTAATTCATTTAAGGATATTTAAATTCTATAACCCCTTTTGCCTCACAAGGAAAAGCTTTTTTGTAACTCCCATTTATATAACGGATTTTTACAAATGAGTCAGGCTCCGTGTTTTATTTTGCTTTCTTGAGTATTCTATGTTAAAAATCTTGGGTCTCATCAATATATCTGTGTGGGTTGGAATTTTATATAATACTAAGAGGATTTAATTTTGACTCTCCTGCTACAAAATTTTCTAGCACACAATCCTTATATAATGTGATTTATATGCCAAGTTTACCTCGCTTGTTTTTTATTGTTATTTCATATATATATATATATATATACTGTATAAATTGCTACTACGTACTTGTTACAACCAAATGATACCAGAAATTTGAAAACAGATCGTGGCCAATCAATTCTCTCGGGTTGCTAAAAGTGAGAGATGCTCCTTCTTTGGTAACATTGCTCTTGGAAGTGTCATTTCTTTGTCAGAGCTCAGAGAGAATTATGATATAGTAAGCATTCCAACTTGTGTATGACAATAGATTATGGTTGACAATAGTTCTGGTTATAACTTGTTGGCTTGCAGTATTTGACCATTTATTAGACTGCTATCTGCTTTCAAACAGGTTGTTCTTTCCTATGGCGCTGAAAGTGACAGATCTCTTGGAATTCCTGGAGAGGTACGTCAATTCTAGTTTAGATATGTCATTTCATCACATTCCTAGTTGTTATCCGAAGAGTAGATCTCATCTCTCTTGGCCTGCTTGCTATTTTAAACTTTAGAATTAGTTAGATTCTGGATTCTGCTTAATCTTATTTTTTGATAAAACTAGACAAGTGACAGTACTCACGGGAAGAATTACTGTAAGTTATGAAAGCATTGATTTGTCTCCTTATATATATATGCTGTGCTTGAAGCCATCATAGCTTATTTTGAGGATTGGAACCACATTGACAAGCTAAAATTAAGCTTAATAATTATCATTGATGTTGCTTCTTTCATTGTAACTTGTTTTTTATTGTATGAGTTGATAGGTATAACTCAAATTTGCATGATAAATTAATGAATGATTATATTAGATGAGCGGTTAGAATTACATCTATTGAACATAAGAGAATTGAAATTTGACTTCATTGATTTGGGCATGTACATTGTACAACGAAGTTTAGAAAATGCATCAAGAAAAGGACCAAAATGGTCCCTTGACTCTTTATGAAAGACCAAAATTGTTCTCAACTATGTTAAATGATCATTTTGATCGCTCAACTCCTTAAAGAGAAAATAAAGTAGGCCTACCATAGAACTATTTTAATTCATTTTTAAAGATTTTAGGGACTAAAATAGTCCTTTAATAAAGTTGGGGATCAGTTTGGTCATTTATAAAAAATCTATGAACTATTTTGATCTTTTTCTTAAAATGCATCGATAATATTATTGTTAGAAGATTAGAAAGAAGATTAAAGATCTAAGGGAACATGAATAAAAAAAATTCAAAATACTTTACAATAAATAGGTTTATCAACCCAAGAAACGCTCAATATGAATGAATGAAAAATGAGGAATTAGAAAGCCAAGGCCAACTAGTCAAGAAAGGGTCATCATGAGCATTTGCTGGGTGTCGCTGGAGAGGTTGGGAAAATTGGCTTGTGCAATGTTTGTTTGTTTTGTTGCTTGTGAAATCTTGTCTCAAAAGGTGGCTGCCTTCACTATTTTTCTAGGATTTGAATGGCATATACTCAGCCAGAGAGTTTGTTTGGTGGTATAATGGACATCCCGACTGTTTCAACATGGCACCGGATTTGAAGAGCACTGATACAGCTGTTATCCTTGGTCTGGTATGTTTCTGCAATCTTTTTAACGGTTGATAAATTATTAATTTGGTAATTTGAAATATATCTCCATTCTCAAACACCAAAATTAGCTTTGCTTGAATGTAAAATCTTCCTATTCTCTTATGGAATAAATTTCTTATTTTTATTTTGAAGTTAGCTATGAGCACAACCGTTCTAATACATCATATATCCTTCTAGGGAAATGTTGCACTTGATGTTGCTCGTATACTTTTGAGACCGGTTAGCGAATTAGCAAAAACAGATATTTCAGATCATGCCTTAGCTTCTCTTCAGGACAGCACCATAAGGTATGTCATTTCTCCATCCTCACAAGATGGAATGGCTACATGTTGAAACTATACTTAAGTATACTTTGCATTAGAAAGGTTTACTTGGTAGCAAGGCGTGGTCCTGCACAAGCGGCTTGCACGGCGAAGGAATTGCGAGAAATTCTTGGTATAAATCAAAATCTGAACTTTTTTTGTATGGAACGCATTATCCAGTTCTCCCATTTGAAGAAGATGGTGCTAAATCAACATAATCTAATCTTCCATAATACACTATGGTGATGGGATTTCATGGGAGCTGCTTCTTCCCTGGTTAGTCTTAAACATGCTCTAAAGCTTCAGAAATACTTTCAGGTATGAAGAACCTACACATCAAGATTCAGCAAGTTGACCTAGATATATCACCTTCTGATGAGGTATATACTATTATGCTTTAGACCAAAAGTTACAACTATGAATTTACTCATATACCTCTGTAATGTCATCCAAATATGTGAGCCATTTCTGCTGATTTGATCTCTCCAACAGTCTCGTATTCTAGTTCTTCCAATTTTACTAAAAATCATATTATTGAGATATGCTAGCTAGTTTCCAACCTTTTAAATTATTAATTCAATTTGCTAGATGGATTTCAAATTTTAATGGACAATTACATCTATTTACTTTACTTTTGGGAACATGCTAAACTGGCACTATCATTCAACATAATGAAGTTCTTTGCCGCCTAAAAATTAATTAGGCTAATTTGCATTGGTCTCATTTTTTATACGTATTTGTAATTTGGTGTCTCTTATTTCAATAACCCAAGTTTTAATATTCTGTGGGTAGGTGTGTAAATGAGTCGAGCTCGACTCGGCACTCAAAAAAGCTAATATTATATTTAGTTCTTTCTCTATATAACTTCTTTGTGTGTTTTGTAATATCCAAAAAGACTACATTTTCCTAAGATTCTGATTTTATAGCATTCAAATATAATTCAAGACACTATCGATTCATATTTACAGATCATTTTTTATTGCGTAAGATGCATAAAATTATTTGCAATTCATATATATACTTGAATTTTTTGATTTAGGAGAACTTGCTTGTGATTTTGCGACTAAGAACCTTCAAATTAACTGATACCAAACAAAACATTTTATGTAACAATCTCTTGAAAAGCAACAGCATTTATCTATAGCTACCTTAACTCTGTGGAGCTGTATTTTACAAGGGTTTAGGCCTGCAACTTACAGAGAGTTTGACATCATTGTTGTATTTTCTTCTCAGCTAGTTTATTTATTGATCATGTGCATCTTTACTCTAGTTAACTGTATTGTATGGTTGGAGTAGTTCTAGTGGAAGATAAGATTAGAAAGAGTAACCTTAGATGGTTTGGTCACATAAAACGGCGGCCTTCCAATGACCTACTTAGGAGAGTAGACGTAGTAGATTTAGCTTATGTTAAGAAAGGTAGACATAGACCTAAAAAGCTTGGTTAGAAAATATTAGAAATGATCTTTCTTTATTAAATTTAAGTGAGAATTTGACTCTTAACAGTACACAATGGAGTAAAATGATTCAAGTAGGCGACCCCACAGTGAGATAAAGGCTTGATGTTATTGTTTTACCCGCTTGCTATTTATGGTTTTCTCACGAAAGTGTGCTTGGCTAGAAATTATGGTAAGATTTCTCCTTACCTCACCCACTATCTAGGATAAATGTTTCTCTAATAATTTTGAGTTCCCTATCAAGTATTAAGTTTGCTGTCCCTCATTGTAGCTTCACAGTCTTTTTTCTCAAATTAATGTAGGTTTCGTTTGGGATGGCTTTCTTACTACTTCTTAAAGCAGCTTTTTAGTACAAAAGTTATAATTTTTATACTAAAAAGCTGCTTGAAGAAGCAGGAAGAAAGCCGTCCCGAACGAAGCCGTAGTCTTCCATAAGTATTTTTGAACTAATTTATATATTCATTCTATGAATTTATTTGTCTTTCTCTTGGGATTGCTAAGTCTATTCCTCTGTACACTAAACTTGAGAATTGTAACTTTGATTTGCTAATTATAGGAAGAATTGAAGAAGCAGCGTATACAGAAACGAGTTTATGAGTTACTCTCTAAAGCAGCTTCTTCTCCACACTGTCCTCCTGCAGAGCAAAGGGAACTCCACTTTGTGTTCTTCAGAAAGCCTGATAGATTCTTGCCTTCAGAGAATGGCTGCACTGTTGGTGCTGTGCACCTTGAGAAAACATTTTTAGAAGGCAAGGCTTCTAATTCCTCTCTCCTTCCCCACACCTGCAAATGTTTTCTATCTGATTTTTTTTAATAAAGGGCTATCTCCCTTAACTAATACTTTATTGTTGATTTTACAGAGACTGGCAAACGATTAGCAGTTGGTAGAGGGGAATTTGAAGATATCACCTGCGGGTACAAAGGCCTTCTTGTCCAACTAGTCATCCATAGAACCATTAGTTTCACTAATATATCATCAAAGCTAGTTAATTTCTATTTGTGTTTGCAGACTTGTATTGAAAAGTATAGGTTACAAGTCTTTACCAATTGATGGGTTGCCTTTTGATAATCATAAAGGTGGGTTTCTCTCTCATAGGCCTATTGGCTTCTTGCTCTTTATTTATAGGAAGTCTTATTTCCCTAACAAGGGTGTTCTATGCAGCTATAACCTTACTTAAAGCCACATTGTCAACACTAAACCCTAATGACTACAACTAAAACCTGACAAAAAATCTAAACCTTAAAAGATTAAGCACTAAACCCAAAATTATGAAAACTAAAGCCTAAAACCTAACCTTTAACCATAAACCCTAATCCAAAAAAAAACCTAAATCCTAATCCCTAAATGCTAATCATTACACCTTAAACCCTAAATAGTAAATCCAAAACCATAAACTATAAACAAAAAACCTAAACGCTAATAAAAAAATCATAAATTGAAAATCCTAAACCCTGTTATGCAAAACCTTAATCCTAAATATAAGAAGTTATAAAGAAGAAAAAAAACCCTAAATATAAGAATTCAAACCATAAAAACAAAATCTTAAACCAGAAACCACCACATATGCAAAACCTTAAGAATTCATACACGCAGATGCCCACTGCTCCTAGGAAGATATTTTTTAAAAAATTTGGCTTCCCCACCCCATCCCCATTGTTGGGAGCTTTGGTTTTACTATAGAAGTCCTTGCTTTGAAGCTTCTTTAAATGGGTTTGTGATGAGGACATCAAAGTTCGCCACGTGTACCATCGTCGGAGACGCAGATCGACGGCTACGATCGAGAGCCTTTATTTCTGATTTATTTTGTATTTTATTTATTCTCGCATTTTATTTTTCTAGTTTGCCCCTGTGAGTATTTAGTCGCTTGTGTAGCCCTGAGGGCATTTGTGTCTTTCAGTTTTGTCTTATCTTGGCCTATTTAAAGGAGGTCTCATGCATTGTAAAAAATGATGAATTATGGAATGAAAAAAAAGTTTGTTCTTGTTTGATCTGAGTTCATGAGAGGAGAAGCCCGAGGAGGGTGATTTGCAATACCCATCAATCTTGGTGGATACCAAGGTTCGCGGTTCTCTTATCTTTCTTTTCTTTTATTTTTCCTTGCATCGAATTCTCTCCCCAAACTTCCCACCCGCCGGCCTCATTCCCCACAAGGTCTTTCTTGGTAATTTTCCCTAACCCGAGCCCCTCCCCTTGCCGTCGGCCTTGTTAGGCCGCCCAAGCCGCTAACCATCACCCACCCGATCGCCGGCCTCCTACACCCCGTCCCCTTCCCCTCCTCACAAAATCGAGCCCACCTTCACTGGCCCGCCGCCCCCCTTAGCCTCCCCAAACCGCCCCCTCTCCCCCTCAGCTTGTTCCACCCACCAGCCCACCCACCATAATTCTCCAAATACAAATTTTGAAATTCAATTTCTGTCATAAATACTTTCCTAAATTATCTCTATGTGATTTAGGGAGGGAATCCTTGTTGGCAATCAATTTATTTTGAATTTCAAAACTCCTTTCTAAGAAAGTTAAGTCCCATTATGAAGTTTCTTATTATTTGAATCAAATCTGAAATTAAATTCAGATTTGATTTAAATTACATTAACTTCCTTGGGGCCCACATATTAATCCCAAAACCCCTCTCTCTCCTCTCTACATGGCCGGCCCCCTCTCCCTCATAATTTCTCTCCCAATTTCATCAATAGCCTCTCATTAAACCTCCATAATTACCTCCTACAATTCCCTCTCATCCAATTTAACTCTCTCCATTCAAATTTGAATTTAAATTCAAATTTATCCCGCCAAATCCACTTAAATCTGAAATTAATTTCAGATTTCTAAATCTTCCACCAAATCCTCGTTAGCTCAAGCCGCCCCCTTACCTAGCTTCTCCCACCCGAGCCCCCACCTCTCCCTCTTCTCCTTGGCCGCTCCTCTCAAGTGGCGGCTTCCCCTTCTTCCACCTCAACGTTTCTACACACGACAAGGATCTCCCATGGTCATGCATGGCCGATCCGGAAGTTGATCACGGCTTTGCTTACAACGCCCAAGGAGAGATCGAAATCTTCCTCTCTCCCTTCTACAAGCCGGATTGGGAGTCCGACGGCAACGTGGAACGTTACATCAATCACACCGTTTATTGTCTCACTGAGACTATCGAGCTTCAACGACCAAGAACTCCGTGGACTCTTATCGGACGACCGCTCACTTCTCCAACTCCGGCTTCTTCCCTGGCGACTAGTCTCCTTGGCGTCACTTGTTTGATAGTGGCATCCTTAAGTGTGCTTGCAATTCTCTTCCGCTAGCCTCCACTTTCAAGAGATTGAGTGAATGATCTAGATTTTAAACTTGAGGTTTTTGTTACATTTTCTATTTGCATTACCTACTAGTCCTTGGTTGTTATTTTACAAGTCCTACTAATCTCAAATTGTAACCAGTTGCTATTACTTAATCTTTCAATGCCATATTCTTAAACCTTCACTTGAGCAAACAAAGAGTTTATTGGTAGCAAAGCAAAGTTCATCACTTCTATTAATATCGTAATTGTAATTCTTGGTTATCACATTTTAGTTTCACATCAGTTTGTATATGAGTTTGTAATTAAATTCACTCAAAGCTATTTAAAAAAATCTTATGCTGTAGATTTGAGGAGCTTTTTGAGTAATTTTGGTTATAGAACTTCAGTTTGATTTAAGAATTGGTATAATTTTCTTCAAAAAAAAAAGGCTATCATTTTATCTACTAATGGTTTTGACAGGCGTGGTTCCAAATCTGAAGGGCAGAGTTCTGAGCAGCTATCAGAGAGGGCATGAGGCTGTGGAGCATGGCTTGTATGTTGCTGGGTGGTTGAAAAGAGGTCCTATAGGGATTGTCGCTACTAATCTCTACTGTGCTGAGGAAACTGTAAGTATGATTATCAAATTCAGGTTTCATTTGGAATGACTTTTTTACTGTTTCTTAAAGCAATTTTTTGTTACAAAAAACTGTTTTAAGAAGCAGTAATAAAATTGTCCCAAATGAAGTCTCAGATACTTAATAAATTATAACCGGCACTCAACCTCTTTGCTCGCTAATGGAGCGTCTAGGGAGAAATTATTCTATGCGGATATTGGATCATCCGGTGGCGAATCATAACATGTCACATCATCCAATACACAACGGTACCTAGCCACAGTACACAATAAACATGGCCTATTCTGATTCGCTTCCGGACGACATCCATATCCGCACAGGATAATTTCATGTCTATAGGACCATCAAGAGTGCCACCAATAACATCCTACAATAGCCTGATATCTCACGTCGATATCGATATATGGAACTTCGCTTCGATTATGATGTTATCATAATGAAGCATTCCTAAAGATGATGATCGAGTGAAGTGGCAAAATTTTGAAGAAGTAGAGGAGGAAATTTGATCTGATTGTAGATAGTAATTATATTCTATGATTGCAGGTTGCAAGCATCTCTGAAGATGTGGAGAAGGGCTTGCTTACAGCTGCTTCTGGTACTCCAAAGCCAGGAAGGCAAGGGCTTCTTCAACTGCTTGAGAACAAGAATATTAAATTCGTACCTTTCAGTGGCTGGGAAAAGATTGATGCTAAGGAGAAGATGGTAGGTCAGCAGAGGAACAAGCCAAGAGAGAAAGTAACTACATGGGAGGACCTGTTAAAAGCTTCAAATGTGTAAAACATGAAGCCCTATGAGATTTTATTTTTTATTGCAATTATTATTGTTTTGAATTTTCATGCAACCAATGTATAATAGATAGAGGTGTAAATGAGTCGAGCTGAGCTCGAGGCATCTCAAATTTGAGCTTGAGCTTGAGCTTGATTACTTAATTGAGTTTGAACTCAATTTTGAGTCAAGGCTCACGAGCTTGCTCATCTATTATGAAAGAGAAAAAATAATTATGACTCAAAAGTATTATTATGATAGAATGATGCAATAAATGAGAAATTGTAATAGTAATATATATATATATATATATATATATTAAGCATACAAATCTTAATGTGTTTAAGTGTAATTTATATTAATATTTGTTAACTCAATGAGCTAGAGTTAAATCAAGGCCAGCTCAAGTTTAACTTATTATCTCATTAGCCATTTATTGGATTAATTATTCTATCCGGATGTTGAATATCGTCTGTAGATTAATTATAATGTACCACGTCACCCCTATGTTCGGTACCGCTGCTCAATACTGTTGATGACTTGACGTGACGTATTTAAATTGGTATTTGAATGATGTTTTGCATTTGATCTCCATACAAAATAATTTCTCCATTTATTGAGCAGAGGAGGTAGAACTAGCGCTGACTCGCACCCTGAAGCAGGCTTCTTGAAGTCCAAGCCTTGTATGTTTCCATGGTATTATTTTTACAACAATTATATTCATGTAATTATACTAATCAGTTGAATAAATTTCAGATTTTTTTTAATTATTTATTAAATATTAAAATAAGATTGACTAAATTATGCTAATTTTAATAAAATTTATAGTATATTTATGGTCAAAATTAACACTTCATTTAAAAACTTAGCATCTTTTTTTTTTTTTTTAAACTTATCATCTTATAATTACGTTGTTAGCCTCGTTTAAGCTCGGTCCAATATGAACAGCTGTAAATTATTTTAAATTAAATGAACCTTGTTAGTTATGTTAATATATTTTTATTGTTTTTTTAAAGTAAAATTTTATGAAAAAAAATATTATTCATTTAATTAAAAAATTATTTTAAAAATTAATAAGACGAAAGTTGTCTTTATTTAAGCCGCAGTGACATTTTCCACTAACTAATAGATTGGCAAATATTCATTTATATGAAATTTAATTAAAATTTCATTCATATAATTTTAATTTTTGTAAAATATAACAAGCATATCAAAGAACAAATTAAAGAACGTTGTTGTTTATGCTCCATCATTCTTTAATTTTTATTTGAAAATTATTTCAGAGATTATCATTTTGAAAACACATTTTGATAATTAAATTAAAAAATCTGACATATTAAGTTGATCTTATATAACCACATAAGATAATAATCCCTAAAAAAATTGATGTGCATTATTGAACAATTATTGTATAAAATATCCTAGGTAATACTATAAAAATGATTTTTATGCCAAAATTTTGTTGCTCTATTGATCAAGGGTGTAAGCGAGTAGAATCAAATTACGAACCAACTCAAACTCAACACATTCACAAACTTATGAGCCAAACTTATAAAACCACGAGTTCAAACTCGAGTCTATACTCAAGCTCAACCTAGCTCCGCTTGTAAGCTTGTCAAACTATTCATTTAAATTAAAATTGGAGCCAAATTCAATATTATTAAATGAGTTGGAGTCTTTTAGCTAGATAAAAGCTGGATCCGCCCCTGCATTTACTTTTACTTGACGTGACTCGAGTCTTTTATAACCTTAACCATAGGTGAACTTTATCACCTGCAAGTTATTCACCCATGTGATTCAACTCATTATATGCTTTCCAAAGCCTTAGCTGCCAACTTCATAAATGAAAATTTTTTAATATATTTCTGAAGATATCAATAGAATTCAGATGCAATAAATATATCCTAGAAAAGCCATCTATATATCAATTTAATGGAAAGAAAAAGATACCTACAGTGAGATTCGCAAGAAGAATGAACAACACATACATGCCTGGAGAGTGGAGAGGCATTTTCACGCATTGTTTTTACAACAACACAATTCCTCAGCTGAAGCTGGGCGTTTTGGTTTCGGTTGATCCATGTCTCTGGATTGCAACTACTGGTTCATTGCATCGTGAACACCGATACGAGCTAACTGACGTGCAACGAGTGCGAAGGCAATAGTAGCAATACCTGTAACAAAATCAACTATTCTTAATATTTGACACAATATAAAAATCAGATTTGAAACTGACAAAAAAGTCAGGATTGCATCAAACAGTGAAGATTCAGGTCCTGTTGAGATTTTTATCCCGTTTAATAAATAAGTTGGGTTCAGGTTTGAATTGATTATATTCGTGTCCAATCATTTTAAAATCAGGCAGGTTCAACACATGAACCTAAATTAACACACCCCCTAAATCAGAAGAAAATATATGATTACAAAATTTCTGTTTATTCAAATGATGGGACTTTTCTAATGAAGACCGGATTACAAAATTCTTTGAAGTTCTAAGAGCAATCATAAGATATAATAGAAGGACATATTGCCCATTTGAAGTTTAAAATAAATACAACGTAAAACTTTGGGGTATTTAGAATTGACCATCTAATTCATTTTTTGCGTATTTGGATGTCCTCATATTTGGGCGAGTTTCGAATACACCATAAATTCATCGCCACTGACCACCACCACCAACCAACCAACACCGCCGCCGCCAAGTCCGGTCACAAGTCAACCACTAAAATATTATTTTAAATTTAGCGCAAGTAAAGCGCAGTTAAAGCGCAGGTAAAGCGCAACTAAAGCGCAAGTCAAAAAGCGCAGGTAAAGCGCAAGTAAAGCACAACTAAAGCGCAAGTCAAAAGCGCAGTCAAAAGCGCAAGGTGACGCGGCAAATTTTTATTGGATGTCCGAACTTATTTTTCGCCTCCGGTCACCTGACCCAATAATTTGCCCTAAATCACAGGACTATATATGATCACAAAATTCTAGTTTATGCCGCCCATTTGAAGTTTAAAACAAATGCAACGTAAAACTTTGGGGTATTTAGAATTCACCCTCTAATTCATCTTTTGCATATTTGGAAGTCCTCAGATTTGAGCGAGTTCATATTACACCATAAATTTGCCACCACCCGCTGCCATGGCTGACCACTGTCTGGCACCACCGCCAACAACCATCTGGTGCCGCTGGCTGCCGCCACCAACCTCTTTGGACTTTACATTGCACTAATTTTACTTCAAATCAAATGAAAAAAATAATCTCATGCATTCATTTTATATTCATTCAAACAAATCTAAATTATTCATTTTATACTATATTCCATTTACAGGCTTTTACATTGCATTTCTTTTCAACCAACTAAATAGCCCCTTATTATGCTTTCATAACTCATAAGGCAGAAAAAGTCCTAAAGGATAAAGGTTTCAGGGAATTGTTCAAAACAATCAGATTATCCCAAAAAGAAAGCTACTGTGCCAAAACAACAAGCATTAAAAACCGTCATAACGAGGATAATTAGCAGTACATCAACAGAAGTGGTTCACAAGCACACTTGACTGTCAAAAAACTTTACATACCAAAGTAATAGAAACTAAATTTACCTGTGTTGGCAAGGAAGAGCCACAAATGCAATGGTGGGATTTGCATGGCAGATTGGGCATTCTGACTCATTGCTTGAAGATCCAGATGATTTATCTTTGGAGAAAGGAAGAAGAAATTTTTTTATTGAAGATGAGTTTAAAAGTGGAAGCAGCAAAAGCAGCATCTCCTGTACACCCAAAACAAAACAAAAAAAAAATCGGATTGAATCATTAATATAGCCACCAAGCAAGCAAAACTTCACATAACAAAAGCTTATTCATTTCCACACAGGCATCAATGATTAGCAATATTTCTTTTGTAAATTATACACAGAAACCTTGACCAAACGCTTATTCATTATTTAGCAACCCAACAATCCAAAAATAAAAACATAGCATGGTTATCTCGTCAATCTTCAGCTTGTTTACAGGTTTGGACTTGTTTTAATTGATCAGCTCACAAGGCATTGATATAATATACTCGATACATGAAATATAAAGAATGACAAGAACCGGGATAAACTTAGCTGGGTACTAAAATATTTTAAAACAAGAAACCCTTCGGAAAGTGAGATGTGTACAAACATCATGCCAATAATCAGTATCTAACCACCAAATATGATATCATGAATTCATGATGGAACTTTATGTTTATACAACACATGGTATTCTATCAGATAACTTCTTGAATTTCATATGGCAAAAGACTTGTAGTACCTACGTTGCTTATGTGCATTATCACGGTTATGAAAAAAAAGAGGGGGGTTGATTTGCATACATGCCACTTTATTTCATACTATTTGCATATCGAGCATCTAAAACTTTAATATTACATTCCTACCACTCATATGAAATTTTAATATCAAACACATCACTCATATATTTCATTCTTACCACCAATAACAACCTATAAACTTTAATATTTCATTTCATGCACCCATATTTATTCTATGGATGGTAGGCAAGTAATATTAAAGTTTTAGAAGTTAGATATGTAAATAGCATAAAATAAAATGGTATGTATGTAAATCCCCCCAAAAAAATCACATCATTGAGAATGTCTTTGAGAATAAAAAAGTTGGTCCTATTTCAAATCCAAACTTAGTGATCCAAGGGAATTTTGAATGAATTTGAACTTTGAAGCATAATAAGGGCTTTTCACAATAGTAGACTTTTCTACTGATGAAACTTCAACACCATGATTCATTGACAACTAAATGATTTTAAAATCCAATAATATTATTATCCATAACTGTTTTTGATGCAGACAGTTTGATTTCGATGTAGATGCGCTTGATGTTATTGATTTTATTTTGGAAAGTCGGAAAGGACACAATGTACAAGGAAAGCAAATGTACAGAATAAACAAGTTTACTGCATCTAAAAAGATAACCAAATATACAACTAGTCAAACATAATTTCCTTCGAAATTAAAAACTTCTCATTCCTGGCATAGTAGTCCTACCACAAAGCAGAGATCATATACTGGATGAGACCGACTAGATAGAGTGAGCCGAATATACCAAGACTGGGATTAAAAAAAGATACTGCTAGGATGAGAACTATATTAAGTATTCTTTCCTCTGTAGTGTACTCTGGATGTTTAATCAGTGACTCCGATTTGGCATAAAAGCCGTAAAAAAAATGGAAAAAGTTTTCAGAATATAAAACTTAAAAGTTTTAGAAACAAAGAGGGTTTATACTTTATACTTTCCAGTTTTTCCAATAAAATTTAGAGCTTTCAACACCAGAAAAATTACCGAGAATTCATTCCAAACCAATTGCCTATTCATATACTCAAAGCTAACGGCCCGATTCATATTAGGGCTTCCATACACAAGTCTTGCTTTCAAAATTCTTTCAATAAGCGTTCTATACCTGCACTTGGAAACAGAAAACTAAGGTAATATCACATAAAATAAAATTTCCGTAATTATGTCATGAAGAGTATGAAATCATATTGTACGACTGTTGTATATTAAAATTTTAACAAAATATTAGCAGTTCAGAATTTGTAATAAATATTAATTATATAGCTTTTCATGAATTTCTAGTTAAGATAATCATTTGGCCTGTCTAAGTTTTTCCTTTCATGATCTAGATGTCGGAAATTAAAATTAAGGTCATTTTCCCTTCCAGTAAAGCAAGGTGAAAAGTTCCTCAACCTCTCCTCAAATTTGATACATATTTTATATGACCTTATCCAGAGCAAGTTTCAGGTAAAGAAAATTCTTCTGTTTATATTATCTTCTATTTAAATTAACTCGTTTAGCTAGAATTGTTCTTTTAAACTATCTCTAAATCTATAAAGATGCATTCAGCTTGGAATAAATGCAAGGGAGTCTTTAGGACATAAGAAGATACCTTCCAGAATACAGAAATAGTAATAAATTACTTAAAGCTGCAGCTTTGTAAATGCCTTCAATACGTTGTATTAAAACCCATATCCGTCGTGCCAGCGGTCTCTGCAGAACAATAATTAAACCTTGCATCTAAAAAACTACCCAACAGAAGCTAATGCCATAAGAAATATAAATTCATTACGTCTTGTCAAATGAAAGTTAAGTTACCTGCTCAGAGTCGCCCCATCTTCTAAAAGCCGAAAATGACTGTAAACGAGCCCATATATACTGCCCACCAACACTACCAATGCAGTACCATAATTTTTGTGATACAGAGAGCCCAGTTCCTTCCAGTCCTGTTCTCACTGCATGGGAAGAATTTATGAGTTGAAGCCCCAATGTAGGCATGAAGTAGGGTACAGGAAAAAAATAAAGGGATCAACGTGGTAAATGCTATTTACATAAAATTCTAATGAAACCCAAAGAATAGAAGTGGTTATATTCTACGTAAGGGTTACCTAATAAATAACCAAAAGGTTAATCAATCAGTAAATAACTAAATGTTAACTGAACACCATTAATTAGCGTTCATAGAAGCCTAATGCAAAAACAATTATCATAAATTCTTGTTCAGCAATGCCATTCAAGTTGAAATTCTCAATCATGAAAGAAATTTTGAGAAAAACAGAGTTCATCATGTAGTTCATTCATTGTATTTCTTTCCATTGCGTTAATGCAGTGTCAAGGTTAATGACTATAGCAAAGAATCATAACAAGGGCTCAAAATCTGAACAGTTTTTCCCAAATCCAAGAATTACCCAGAGTTTTTTTTTAAGGCTTTCAGAACAAGACTGATTTGAAATACGAAAGAAACAAAGTACTTTTCTCAGGTTTGGTCATGGGTTATTGGGATTTATTTCCATAGCCTTATGACTTGCTAATGCATTAAACAAAAATACATAAAAAAATGAAAATAAAGCATAAATTTCTATAGGTGTCGAACAGAATGGTGAGTATCCTACATAGTTAATATATAAGCATTATACTGTTGATGAGTTGGCCAATACATGAAGCCAAAAATATATAAAAAATGAAAATAAAGAATAATTTTCTATGGGTGTCCAAGAAAATGCTGAATATCATGTTTGATATTAAAGCATAATTGATTAGGACATCGTCAGCATTTTCAACACATGTACCTTTATGACATGCCGGAGATCGACGGCCACGATCATGAGTTGTATTTTGTCATTTTATGTAGTAGTTTATTTTATTTTAATATTTTTCCGCTTTTGCCCTTATGGGCATTGAGTCGCTTATGTAGCCCGGAAGGGCATTTGTGTCATTTCTTGTTATTTCATTTTGGCCTATTTATATGAGACCTCATGCATTTATAATTTTAGTTTTTTGGATAAATGAAAATTTGACATTTCATGTTCTCTTTGTGAGTGCAAACCTCCACGATCTCTTAGTGAGTTCGTAGGAGAAGCTAGATCTCTTTGTGAGTTCTGGGTTTTCTTGCTCTTTCGTTTTCTTTTAGTTCTCTTGATCAATTCATTGTTGTGGAGATTGGGATTGAAGCCACTTGTGGGAGATTGGAGTTTCATGCTTTGGATCCCAAGAATTTTCCCCACAAACTCCCCTCCCTTGCTCTTTGCTGCCGTCCCCAACCCAGCCACCACCCGCCGGCTGAAGCCCACCCCCGGCCAGCCCGCTCCCCCCCGCCACCCCTGTTGACCAGGCCATCTGGCCGCCGGCCATCCCTTGGTCCAGCTCCAGGGGTTTCAAAATTGCTAGGATTAATTTGCTTTCCTATTTGGTCTTCCTGATTTGGGAAGTTTTTTTTAAGGGAACTTAATCCAAATTTGAAATTTGAATCCCGTCTCCCTCAATTTTCTTCTCAGACAAATCTAATTAATTCAGCCGTTGCTAAATCTGGCCTTCCTCCTTCCTAAAATTACAGCTCAGTAGTTTTCAGCTGGATTCTCCCTGAGAAGAGAATTAGGAATTAATTTCCTGTACGTTATTTCTCAGAAAATGAATTGAATTCCTGAATTGAATTCCGGAATTGAATGCTTCCTAGTGGCTGTAGACCCCTTGTCAATTGCTGTCCAACCTGTCTCCCTCAATTTTCTTCTCAGGCAAATCTCATTTCCTTGGTTTTCAAATCCCGATTGCTCCTTCTAGCCCTTTCCTCTCACATCCAAATCCTGGAATGTCCGTTCAATTGCTGCCATTAGTTTTATTCTCACTATTGGACAGTTTGTTCATTTCCAACACAGAATTCTCACATTCAGATTTTCAGATTTTGTGAGCTGAGATAAATCCAGATTTATTTCAGTTTTTGCAAGGAACAATTTCAGATTTTGGAGAGGAGATCCTCTCCGTAGCAAAGCCGGCGTCCCCGTTCTACATCAGTTCGACCATCATCCTCCACCGCTCCGGCCACCTATCCAAGAACGACGATCTTAGGTTCCTTCTTCCTCGGAGTGACCTCGGTTCTAATGTGGAGACTCTTCTTCCGCTAAGCCAGACTAGTTGAGCGTGTGGACTCCAAAGGTGAAAATTCTCATTATTAAATCGTGGACTCTTGTTTATTGTCGTAGCGTACAATTATTCTTTGTGTTTTCTTGAATTGTTTGGTCGATCGATTTCGCTCTTCTTTGCCTAAGCAAGTTAAAAACTGAGAATTCCAATGATTAATCTTTTGCTATAAGTGATAATTTTATTTTGGATTATTTTGTTCAATCTGCTCTCTTTAATTTCCTTAAAGTAATTCCTGAACGACTTTGTATCACATCAATAATACTGTTGTACAATGTAGTTATAAGCATTCATATATTGAAAAAAGGGATTACTTATATTAAAATATCAGAATAAAGGACCAACCAAGATTTAGGGGATTTTGAAAACTAACCTGAATGAATAAAATATGGGGATTTATAACATCAACCTCAAATAGACGGGATAATGGTAATGATGATGAAGAAGATATTGAAAACCAAGGACAAACCCAAGACCATCAAAATTTACTAGGATTTAACAAATACTAGTTATTCATGTTGCCTTTTATTCAACTCACCATAATCAGAGGTTGCACGATAATGGTCATTACATACATAGAGCATAATCAAAGGATGTTTTCATCAAAGCATTCAAGATACGCCAGATAGGAAGAAGATGAACTAAGAAGGCGGCTAAATTCAAACTTTAATGTTTACACTCAAAGTTGGTTGAGCTCTTGACTAACTTAAACAAGTAGACTGTTGTTCTACCTCTCCTCTCAGTTCATATGTATCATTGATCTGCAAGGGAACACCAACATGCATTTGTGAATCTAGTAATGTTCTTCAAGCACTTTAGAATATGACAGCCCTAAGCCACTTATAAAGCAAACCAAACAAACCTATTGCTTATTTCACTCTCTTACTCTAATTTCATAGCAATATTATCAAGTTCTAGGTAGTTTTATCCTCAGATCACCAGAGCTTGCATCTAGAAGCAATATTGACATTTCAGGCCCATGTCAGCAGTAAATCAGAAATCTCATTAAGCCCTTGCAATGGCTGTACCACGTAGACGTTTAAATTTTGTAACATAGAAAATATTATATGACAAATATAACGACTACGTTGGAGACCAAGTGCACTGAATTAGATGATTCTGAAGAATTTCATGATAGTGATTAAAAGATGCAAGAAAATGAAGATTTGCTTGAAAACAATGTAGATGATTGTGTTAAATTTGCAAGGTATTTTTGGAATGCAAATATTTTTTTACCCTAAATCCCAAGACAAAGAGAAAGGTTGTTCTATTTTTCGTAGCCACTCAAAGCAGCAATGAGACCCTGAGCCTGGGAGATGAGTGTTGACAAAGCAAGCTACGATGCCATTCTTCTCATCAGCCAGAGCATGCTACGCAGCAACTGCTTATCAAGAACAATGTGTTGATAGGTAATTTATTTTGTTCTTTTTTTTATTTAAGGCATTTTCCAGTGGCAAAATTTATAATAGGCACAAATCAAAGATCCAAAGAATTAGGCATCCACATCAAGATAATTTTTCCAATAAGTGACTTTGATATTTGAACTTCGAAATTATTTTTAGCGGACTTGTCATGTATTATTTTTATGACAGATATTCTAAAAATAAAGTAGAACATATTTGAAATGTAACAAATAGTTTATATGATTGCCATAAAACATTACCAACTGAATGGCTTGAATATTCAAATTTCTCACAATTATTTGATGGTTTGATTGAGACAGTAATATACGGTGATCCATATATATAGAGGTAAATGAGAGTTGTATTGATGATGATGATGAATATGTTGGAGACTGAGGTCACTGGATCAAATTTTTCTGAAAATTTTCATGATAATCATTAAAAGATGCAAGAAAAAGAAGATTTGCTTGAAAACAATGTAGATGATTGCGCTAAATTTGCAGGGACTCATGATAATGGGAAATTATGAAGCATGGACTCTTCTCCTCAAAAAGGCGAGAAGTGTCTGACACGCATCCAACACGCCTCTGACATGCGCCTGACAAGCCTCCAACATGTGTCGGACATGCCGAAAATGTGTCTGATTGAAAAAATACTAAATACAAATTGGATACCCGTGTCCAACACACGTCTTAGATATTTTAAGAATTTTTGTAAAAAATAATTTCTTGTATTTAAATTTTTTACTTATGTAGAATATAAAAACTTAATTTATTATTTCTTATCCACAACATCAAATCAATCGCTCGCACTCAATACCTCATTCATTGAATATTATCATTTCATTTCTATTTGACAGGTCACGACTTTGGTTTCACAACAATATCTGATGTCATCTCAACATCAACATCAGACGTCATTACAACAACGACATTTCAAAACTATCTCAACATCAAAGCCTGACATTGTCTTGACATTGATGTTCAATGCTACCAATTTCGACACCCACAACTTGACAGCTCCTCTTTGTCTGACGCGTCTTAACATCGACGACCAACGCCCTCTCAACATTGATGACAGATGCCCTCTTGACATCGATGCCCTCTTTTCGACAGCATTGATGTCTCCTCTCTAGATGTCTGATACACAACATAACTGTCCTACTCTCGGTATCCTAATATTAATCATTTTAAGCACAAATTCTAGTTAAATTACTTATATTTTAAATTTATTTTTAATATTATACTTATTTAAATTTTATACACAAGTTTTAAAATATAAAAATTATAATACCGTGTCCAACCCGTGTTTATGTCCTATATTTTCAATAATTAACATGTCTCGTGTCCGTGTCGTGCCATATCTGTGTCTATGCAACATAGATGGGAAACATAACATTGCTTTTCATATGAATATTC